TCAAGAGTAGTTTTATATTTCTGGTTATTATTTGAAATGTGACAAGTTAGAATTTTGCCGGGTATTGGATATTGTTATTGTACTTCAGCTTCATTTTTGGGAAAAATGATACAGGCCGACTTCAGTTTTACCATAAAGTGGAGCACCTTATTAGTTATACTCATTACGGTTGTTGGGGACACTTTAAAAGTAGTTCCTATGCTTAACAAAGTATCCTGTGTAGCCATATACCACAAGAATATTAAAATATGGCCATATAAATTCACTAGATGATATCCACCTGTATACGGTTTTGCTAATATCTTTTTTCATCATTTCTGCTGAATCAATAAATGTTTTCTTTGACATGCGGAAAAATTTAGAGAACTGAAAGTTATCATAGCTACAAAGCCATGGTTCCATCATTAAAAAAAAATCTGAAAAAACATTTCTCCCATGAATATGATGAAAGGTTTCTTATTTAAACTTTCCATATACAGTTGTAGACGAAAAGGCACCGATTATTAAGTGATAATAAAAATAATCAGAGATTATATACGCGCTTTTCTAAAATAAACAACTTGCAACAAAACCGCGGTTAAAACCAACGCGTTCAAGCGATTCGTGTAACTGACGTCATCAACCCGTGTGTCATCTTGAACCATATTATAACCGCGGCACATAACACAGAAATTTTGGTTATTCGCTTGGATTTGATTTTTGTTTGACCTTCCTGAAATGCTAAGTGTCCATATGCACCGGTTTCAGCTTAACATTGCTAGCAATAAGCCTGACTTACAGTATCCCTATTCACCGACTTCTTTTCTTATTTTTCTAGCTAAAAACACTTGGAATTCAACAGCACTGCTCTCATTTCAGGTACTTTGACTTTCGTTCAAGTATTTTGACTGTCTGACATTTTTATCAGAATCGATAAGATAAATCGGGCCAGAAAAATTCAAAGAAGTTTGCCTAGAGAATAATGGTATAAAGCAGAACGAAGATCAATCTCAAGTGTGCATGTCATGTTGTATGAAGAACTCTGCAAAAGGGTTTGGTACTACAATTTCACAAACCATGAGGTAGTTTATACATTTTATTGAATCTTATACAAATGAACAAATACTCTTTTACCTATGCAAAAAGTAAAAACTTACAGAACTTTCTCAAAACTAGTTGATCATCATTTTCTACATCCTTATAGCTATATTTTTCCTTAGTGACAAATGAAAATCTCCTATGAACATTTCAGCTCTAACTTTCACGGCAGTACTTTCATTTATTGTATTTCTACACTATTCTTATGGAAATGCTTCAATGCAATTCAAGTTTTCTATGATCAAACTTCTCGGGTCGTTGTCTCCTAACCTGAATCTCGTCAGGAAGGATCTATGTTGTAGTTTTTGTGTTCTAAAAGCCATACTCAATATCATTTTGGCTATGAATCGTCCAATTTCGTTGTGCGATTTTTTGGTTTTGACACTTATGATATTAAAAAACAATCTTAAGTCTATTCTTGAGGTTGCTAAACTTTTAGAACAGATTCTTCAAATTCGTACTTAAGTGAACGACTATGAGGATGGTGCATATGGCCATAAATGACTTTTCTTAAACCTAAAGTTCATCAACGCCAAATTAAAACTCAACAAAACAACAGCTGGATCACAGCCCTATGCTACAAGTTCCTTATGCATGAAAAGGAATTCTAAGAGGCTCTCACCAGTCACTAAGATAAGCAATTTGTAAGGCACAAATTGTAAATAACCATCCAAAAAGGGTAGTGTTCCTTTTGAATATTTAACGATGGCTCTAATGGAGTCCTAAAAGAAAGAGCTGCAGGCTTATCTTTATTACGCGACGAGAACGGCATTGTTATGTGGAAACAAATGAAAGTCTGGCTAGCGATACGTTCATTGCAGTTGAAATATAAAGACTTACCAGAAGTAAGGTCACTCACGGAAACCTCCCATGGTGGGACTTCTAAGGCCATACTCAGGTAGTCGACTAGATGCAGGTATGGGAAAGAATTTATCTCGAGATCATGTCCAAATATGGCTGCGGAACTGCTCTCAATATGTAGAAACCAACTCCGTGTAGTTACAGGCGTTCTAATAGGACGTAATACCCTGAAAGAACATCTACGCAAAATAGAACTGCACGGTAGCTAGGCTACGATTACTATAGATGCGAATTCAGACGAAATTTAGTTCGGACGTGTACGTTCGAAATCCTCGTCAGAACAAGGCGATTACAATGCGTAAATACGTTTCTGTCACCAAATGTGGATGAAGTTGGCGAATCTTATTTTCTTGAAAATCCTTGATTGAAGTTACTGCTGATAACATAGGAGAGATTGAAAGGTTACTATTGATAATTTTTGTCTCTCATATACTCTTTATTTGGACGAGTTAGTCAGAACTCGTTAGAACAAAATTTCGTCAGAATTCGCATCCATAGTAACGGTAGCCTTACTTTCGCAGCTGAAATTTGTTGCAGGAACAATATGTTATAAATAAAATTAGGAACATTTTATGGTACAGACAAGCTTATGCATGCGAAGTTTAAAGTCAAGGGTTGGGTTAATGGTTAGGGGTAACATTTTGGATGTCTTGGTATCTTGTTCACGTTTAAACCTATTTGGTTTATATCACACTTTTAGAGGATGATTCCTTGCTAAAAAATATAAACTGAAGTTTCCATAAACATGGGTCTAGAAATGCAGAGTTTTCAAGATACAGGGTGATAGATTTAAAAAAAAAAATTTATTAATTTGTTGTTGTGTACTTGTACTCTATGTCATGGTACCTATTGGAAAAGTTACATAACACCCTTTCCTAGAAATATTTTAGATTTTTTGTTTTCCAAGGCACTTGTGATCTTTAATTAATAAACCAATTTTGTCCAGTGACATGCAATAAAACAGTTTTATTTTTTTTTTTTTTGAAACGAATTGAGATACGAAAAAAATACAAGAGGCAAAGAAAATGTATTTTTAGATGCTTAATCAAGCAACAAATATGAAAGTTACAAAAAAGGCAGTGGCGTACATTTTTTTTTGCCAATAATATTCTCAAATTTTAACAGAATCGAGTAAATATTTTCTAAGATATTAATACAAAAATATTTTTTTAATTTATCACTTTGTATCTTTTTAACAGGTCTATCTTTCGAACACCCTGTATATTCTATTATAAATTGAACATTTCGGTGGAACAACGCTATAGGTGTTTCCTGCGACATGTGTTATCCTAACCACTTGCCGACCACTTCTAGTGTTCTAGAAGCTTCAGTTTTCTCTGCAAATCGGTCGCTCCAGCCGAAATGTGTTGGCGCTTTTTGTTGATGCTCCCCAGGGCGGTCACAGCTACCTACTCATCGAACCCTGGGCGGGAGGAGGGATGCAAGATGAATCTGAAGTGACCCTACTACTACTATTTTGTATACTTTGGTGCAGTCTAGGCGGCCAATCCAACAACTGAGTCTACTGCCAACTACAGTCATTTAGGTATAATAAATGAACATCGTGAATCATCCACAATTCTAACAATCAACGCATTGACATTTCTGAACTCGCGTTTATTGGAATTTATATCATTTGGAGACCTCTCTCGCGATTTTTTCACACCACCAAAAAATGTATAGTCAATAACGACCTCAAAAAGGTTATCAGTTTGACGGTCTCCCAGAATAATGAGATAAGCTCACATTTCGCAAGTTATTATCATTCTGAATATTAGACGTATAAAGGAATGCAGAAAATTTTCATTTTCCTTTTTCCTGTATAAGTATTTGTCTGGACCGCAATTAATCGACATCACTATTTAAGCATTTCCGTTATCTATAGATATCGTAAATTATGAGTCAGTCGCTTGTCGTTTAAGGTTTGTAATTTCCCATTGTTTTAACGCTTCGCGGTTAGGGTAAATCTCATATTTAAAACCAATTTGTTTTCACATATATGGAACAATAGTTCATGTGTTGAATCTGATAAGAGTTTTCGTTTCATATGGAGATAACTTTACCATTCCGTCGACACTAATTAGTTGTATCAATAAGTAGTAGTAATGCAAAGCCTAACAACTACGCCATAATTTAAATGTTCAAACTTACCGATGAAGACTGGCGAAACATTGATACCTGCGTTAGAAGTCTGCTTCGTAGCTCTTACCTATATGTCGTTCCGAATATCTTAGGTGTTAGGCCTTCAGACACGACATACTTGTCTAGCAAATGGAATGATGTCTTATCAAGCATTTTCAGCAGATCAGCGAAGACTTTATTTAGCACGAACTCATCTCGTTAATCGCTGGAAAACAGTTAAGTTATTGCTTAGGGATAAGAAGTGCGTTTTTGTAGGTGACCTCTTCAGTCTCTACAAACATGGCACAGCTTCTAGTACTGCTCACGTGTTTGGGGTGGCGTCGCCCACTCGATGCTGTTCAGAGGAGGGCTGTCCGACTGATCTTCTGCCTTCCGTCCGAACTCTGTCGAACTTCATACAACTAAGACTGGGGTGTCAAGATTCTGGAACAATATGCCCGAGGAGGGTAGCTCTGCGAACCTTAGGCGGATTAACAGAGTGCTTTTAATCTCCAGTGGCGGTACCCGGTATTCAGGCTTCTGCCTACGCTGGCGCACCAGTATGGAGAAAGATGGCCCACCTACACTCATATCTGCCTAAGTATGTTCCCTTACTTGAATCCCTGATATTTCTACGCTCAAGCCTCACCTTAATGGCTCTTAAAAATAAGACAAATGACTATGAATGTACACTTCGTAATATAGTGCATGCCTATATTACCCCACTTGAAATGATATCTGCTGGACTTTCAGACATTCCACTAATTTCCCGTGTAATGGACTGATAATACATGTTCGTTGTAATACTAATACATCAATGTTCAATTGTAGGCAATATATGCATAGACAAATTATAGGAAACTTCTACTGGCGCTAAACAAATGGGATTTTCTGTTTATATCTCTCTCGATCACTCACATATGCTATTAGTACTATGAGTCATCTGCAATAAATTCTAATTGGGAATCGTAAAGATAAAGTGATATTAGTTTCAAGTAGGATGGTTCAAAAACAGATAGTCAAGCATTGTCAAAATGTAGTTTTAAGGTACCTACATATCTAAAGTGCGAAGCGTGGAATGGATTTATACAAAATTATCTTGAAGAGATCTTGTCCAGACCTTGTATCGGTGAGTATTTAGAAATTTTGGGCATACTACCAAGATTATCGAGTCTTAGGCATTGAACCTGGAAACTTTTTTTTAATTTTTGCTTTTGCTGTTGCTTATTGGCTTCCTCAAAAATATTTTGTTTCGAGAGATCCTATTGGGAATACCAATATAATAAATTCGTCTATATTTTATTTTCATTCAAAAAATTACCTTGCTCAAGGAATAGGACTTTGTCTGATATTGACAGCGTTCCTAGTATTTCACAGTTTCAATCTAGATTCATACCATATACTCTCCCTCAACTTTTTAATTCCTTTCCCTCAGAGCATATAAATAAGGCAGAAAAAGCTTTGTTTTCAAAATTTCTCACCATCTCGGTTTTAATTTTCCCAGATCTCCATGTCATTCATGCTTCCGTGATTTCGTAATAGTTCCGTATTTTTTTTTCGAGACACAAAAAGGAAATCGCCCCCTGGTTATATGATACTAAAAGGCTTAATGAAAAGCTTTAGCTCGTAAGTATCGAGAGTATCGAGCAGCCATCTTGTGTCCTAACGATACATTTTTTACCCAGTAGCACGCAATAAAAATACTAACTTTATTCGACAACAATAGAACGAGCTTTGGGATGAAGTACTCCCGAATAGACCATCAAATGTTGTTTGGGAGATTGACGTTCGTAGTGGAAATCAAAAAATGCCTGCTGGATGATTTGATTACTATCGGATTTCATACATAGATTTGATTAACGCGAGCACAGAATGGGATGAATGACGATAAAAATAGAGAACCGAGGAAAATGTCAACCGATACTGGTGAATTGTGAACTGGAGCACTAATCTAATTATGCCTATCCGGTAGAAAAGGTCGGGTGAAAATGCTGTACATAGATAACGGATCTACATTGATCCAGATATATCTTCTACATCTACTAGAGAAAACACAAATTAAATGTTTATCTGGGAGAACATCCTGGTAAATCGTTCCACATTCCTTCTTATCACGATTCGTTTGGAACGAAAAGCCTGAAGGCTCCGAGCGTTGCGATGAGCTTCTATGACAGACACAACATTTACGGGTAAACTCAAAGCGAGAAAACTAGTAATATAGCGTTATTCCGTCCGCAAAGGTCACTTCTGGTAACAGATGGTGGTTTGTGCAATCATATTTCGATAACGCGAGAACTTCTAGATTGCCGTTTGGCACTTATGATAGGCTCCATCTACTGGGTCTGTGTGATTCACAATCCAAGTAGAATATCACGGCTCATCCATAGGAAAAAGGTACAGCTGAATTCAGAGTACATACGTGGTTTTCAAATACTTGTGGAACGATACGTCTGTCAATTTGCTAAAGATTTTTCTGCTCTCCTCTTGATAAATTAGCAAAATTCCATCTGTTCAAGTTTGATAGTGTTGTCGCTGAAGTATCATTTATATCTAAATGACATCCTTTCAATGCCGGAAATTGTTCTAGTGAATCGTTGGTCTTCTACTCAAAATGTAGGGGATTACCCCCAATATCATATCACCATGTTCTTCAATAGTTTGTTGTGACTGATGATCCAGCTCTGAAGAACATTGTGCAGGATGTAGAAATGACCCAAGGGCACCTAAAATCTAAGGCCTTGACAGATTGCGCAGGAGCATCGGTCTTCTATGCCTAATGTGAGAGGAACTCCCATGGGTGATATTATCACCTACTTCAGTAGTTCGAGCTGATTAACTAGCATTGGGGACTCCTTGAAAATGGCGTAAAAGCAGCTATGTAAATATCAATTCGGCCACCCATGGCATTTCGCTGCATGTGCTGTCAACGTATAGAACCTGACGATTGCCTTTAGCAGGGTCAGAATAACCTTGCCTTTATTGCAATACTAGAATAATGGACCTCCAATGCATATCTATTTATAGCGATTATTCATATGCCGATTCGACCACCCTTGATATTTTTATTCTCTATGGCAATCACGCGACTGCTTTTCACAAAGCACGCATTCCACAGGAAATCAATGCCCATACCAGCTTACCAGCCGAACGCCTACGTCGGTACGTCCTGGTTTCCAATTAAAATTCAAACCACTCCATACTCTTCCGTTCAATGGAAGTAGTGACGACACGCCTTGCGCTAGCTCATCCATGTTGCACACTGTCGCCTACACGAGGTATTAGTCCGAGAGTTAGAGAATATTTGAAAAAATGAGTTCAAAACTTTCCATTGGAATAAAGTAATGTTGGTCCAATCCCAAAGCCGTTAAGCGAATGTAAAAAATACCAGAATAACTTCCAATATGTATTTTATGTGAACTCAAATGTTATAAAACCACGCTTTCCCAATGTTGGCGGTGAAAGTCAAATTGATTTTCCTGAAGTTTTCCGTTATGGTTGTGGCCAGAGAAGTTTCCAGAAATGTTTCAATTCCCTTACATCACTGTAGAGGGCTCTGCTCAAAAGTCAAATTAGACAAAACTTCTGTACGAAGTATCCTTCCATAGGGGTTATTCTGCCAAAAGCGTATTCACTGCGACCTACCTCGAATCTAGTGCAAACTAGGGATGTAACTAATATCAATTTTTGACATATGCGAATGCCGATTTTCTAGATTACGAATCCAAATGGGAATATTCAGTTTTTCTTCTCTATACAGGGTAACTTCGAAGTTGAGTCATTTATTTTAACAGTGAGTAGATCTGATCAAAAGAAATGTTTTTTTCCTTTAACATTTTTCTGGTAAAATTAAGTAACAAAGTTATAGCCCTTTAGAAGATTGAGTACCGCCCTGTCTCAATAATAATATTATGTGCTCGTGTTTGGCAACAACGGATATAATCCGCGTTATCGATTCATCGCATCGGAAACAAAAAAGCGAAAGAATTTGAAACGTTTATCACGATGTTTTTCGTCAGTCGGTAACGAAATAAAAAATAGCACATGTTTACGAAAATGCTGAACTTGTGGACATGATTCTTATTTACTTTACAAAATGCTGCCGCGGCATCACGGATTTGTGCGAATCGGTTTCCCAACCCCTCGTGCCTTTGTTAATATAGTACAAAGGGCTCGTGAATCAGGAGACTTAAGACCTTACAGGGGAGGGCCTGCCGGTGCTCCAAGACCGCACGATCAAATACAGGTCCGCACTGAAATACTTGTCGGGAGGATACTTTATAAAACAAGGTAACATTTTTTTAATGTTTTTTTATTTTTACACACATATTTTGGTTTATCTTCCTTCTACAATCATTATCTGAAAATTAATGACTCAACTTCAAAGTCATAACTCATCAAAACATACTTGAAGGATAAACTTTTACCTTTGAAGTCTAATACTGCTCGAGTTTAGCTTGATTATTGATGTGGTGATTAGAAAAAAGACAAAGGCAAATAATAATAATATAAGCTTATTCACATATAAACTATTACGATTTATTCAAAATCAATATATAAATACGCAAATAAACTAAAATAATCCCTCAGAAGAATTTAATTCTTGTGCATGGGAAAAACTGTTCATAACAATTTTGCTTTAAACATAGTTATAGTTAATGCGTAAATTTAAGCACAACATATAACCATAAATGTAAGTGTAAATTCAAATCTTGATTAACTCTTCATTTGAGTAAGCTTTGCTATTTCATGTCGCCTTTTAAATAACGAGAATATCTTTATTTCAATTTTGAATCTATTTTTATTTGCAATGGATTTTATATGGCTTGGAAAAGCTTATACAATCTAGTGGAGAGGTAAGTGCCCAACTAGCAAAGTAGTGCTATAAGCTTTTGGTAAAAGAGCCGTTCAGCCATAAAAGCTCTCTATTGTTGTTGCCTGAACACCAAAATGCTGGCTTAATGTTGTGTGGAATGCAAATTTGCTTTCTGCAACATATTTGCTCTAAAATGAGGTGTAAAAAATATTCTTATAGCATAGTTATACAACACCTTATAGGACAAACTTTTAACTGTTGTATAATGTTTATACAACATTTTATACGGCATATTTGCACGGTAGTCAAAATGGCTGTGTTGTGGCATCCATGTTAACGTTTATACAACAAACCCGAGCCTCGTTGTTTTGCTGTGAAACTTTACTACTTCAGCCAACAAATTGCTCCCAACGGAATCACTTATACAACTGTTGTTTAGTAACTGTTAAAGGCTGTACAAATGCAACAATATTACAACTTTTGTAGTACAAAATTGCTGTGCTCGGCATACATTTGTTGCTAAATATGTTGGTATACAACTTCACCATAACCTAACTTTCTGCTGTCAATTTTTGTTAAAATGCCATAACTAATGTTTTAAGACAAACAACGCATGCATATTGGTTCAAAAGGTTTTATCAACTGTTCAACCAGAAGATATAGATCTGGTACAAATTCTGGGTAAATCATTCGATTCTGTCGGCATTCCATTTCACACATTTGTCAAATTGTTGTATAACACCTGCAGGCAACACCAAAATATTCTAATAAACCAAAGACAACATAGACGATGCCATGATTATATATAACGACTCGCCATATTGGGTAAACATTTATTCCTCTATTTAATATTAAAAATAATTATGTCTCAGTTCGAAATTACAGATATGAAGTGATAAACTTTAGTGTAATTGTGTCTAAATATAAGATTTGTGGAAGATTTAACGCAGATAAGTTCACTCTTCCATCTTAAAGATCTATACGTAGACATACTATTGATCATTATTAAAATATGAATCAAATACGAAGCACGTAGAAATTGCGTAACTACTTTGCACGATAATCACAATAAAATTTGCTGCGCAAGTAATTCAATAGCCTTATATCACAGTGGAGAAGTTTATCATATACCTGTGTATGAAATTTACAATGGCCGATATGTAAGTAAACAATATGACTGTAATGTGTTAGTTATATATTCTTCACTTCGTCTATACAATACATAAGAAATAGTTTGGTTGCAATAAAGTAGAATCACGTAACAGAATATTTGTATAGTTGACAAAAACTGAATCTTGCACTGACGCAAATGTCCT